GTCTGCAGCCATTTTTGCTGACCAGTAGGAATGGAATTTGGATCTATTCCAAAGTGATTTACACAAAAAACTTTTAAGAAAAGTGTAACTGACCCCGAAATAGCCTATTTCAGGGGGAAGAGAGACCACTTAAATGGTATATATCTTACTAGTCAGCGACAATGAAAATTATAACTATGGTTTTCTTTGATTACAGTGAGAATCAGCAATAGGTTTAATGAATATGGAAGGCATGAGATCAGACAAAACAACTAAAGGAGAAAAGGGACAGTATGCAAAGCAAAGTGTAATCCTAAACAGTTGCTCCAATCTAAGGCCATTGAGCTGAGAGCCCATGAAAAAGGCCCAAACATAGGGAGGGTTCAACAGGGGGGGGGGGTTTTGAGCTACAGGTCTATCGCTGTTTTACGGGTTATTTATTAGATTGAAGAAATAAAATAGCTTTTTTCTTTAATGGCACGCCCTTGTATGTATGTCCAGGATGCAAGGCAGAGGCGGGACCATGGCACATGGGCCCGAGAAATTGGACTATTAGCCACAAGGTATAGATAGGGGCTCTGGGGCAAGTGATGCTCTGTCTTCTTGGTGCTTGGGGGGGGGGGTCAACAGTGGGAGGGCTTCTAATGTCCTGGCCCCACTGGTGGACCTCCTGATGGCACCTGGTATTTCTGGCCACTGTGTGACACAGAGTGTTGGACTGGATGGGCCTTTGGCCTGATCCAACATTGGCGTCTCTTATGTTCTTATGACTGGATCCAACCATTCTCTAAGTAGCCTTCCTCCAGCTGAAGTGGATCCAACCATTATCTGCCATTGCAGGATTGGCCACTTAAGTTAGAGGAAGACTCACAGGGTTGCCAATCTCCAGGTGGGAGCCTGAGATCTCCCGGAATCACAGCTGATCCCCATACTATGGAGGACAGTTGCCCTGGAGAAAACGGCTGCTTTGGAGGGTGGGCTCTAAGGCATTATACCCCGCTGAAGACCCTCCCCTCCCTAAACCCCGCCCTCCTCAGGCTCTACTTCCAAATCTCCAGGAATGTTACCAATATGAAGTTGGCAACCCGAATTTCTTAAACTTGAGCCAAAATGAAAGGTGGGAAATAAATATTTGAATACATGAATGAATAAAGAAATAAACTTTGTTCGGTGTCGTGGTAGGACAGGGGTAGGATCCACCCCGTTGTGCTTGGATCTTGGCTTTGAACTCATTAGGCCGTCTAAGGCATGCTCTTATTTCAGCCTCACTTTCCTTCCTGTAATGTGGAACTAATCCTATTGGCCTTCAGGGTGTTTTTGTTACTGAGATCATGTATGTACCGTATTTTCAAACCTCAAAAGCACTATACAAATGCATTGCTAAGTAACGTGGTTTTCTCTGTTGTGGGCTTATTTGTGGCCTCGGGTAAAATGGCCTATTTGTCTAGTCAGGTCTCTCGCTAGGCTATGGTCGCCAGTTCTGGGTTGGGAAACACCTGGAGATTTTGGGGGTGGAGCCCGAGGAGGGTGGGATTTGGGGAGGGGAAGGGCTTCAATAGCATATAATGCCAAAGAATTCCCCTTCCACAGCAGCCATTTTCTCCTCTTCTGGGTTCACACTGTAAAATGGGAATATAATTATGACCTTATAGGGCTGACGGCTGGAAAAGACCAAGAATCCTCATTAGTCTCAGGAGACTGAGCCCCCACTCCTTCACCTCCAAGTCAATCCAGCAAGATTAGAGACAGGTGTGTCGCAAGGAGGGTGTAGATGCAGGACGGACCAAATGGATTCGGACTACTCAACTGAGCCAAGTCAGATGTTACAAGGAGGGCGAAAACCCACTCCACTAACTTGAATTGAGCCAGCAACTCCATATATGTTCACATATTTTTATTTTCTTCTTCTTTCTTGCTAAATGATAAGGTGTCTTTTTAAAAAACGGAACAACGACTTCACCCTTATTTGGTAGCAGATGTTATAAAGCTCGCAGCCGTGACACATCTTTTTCTCCCTTTGTTCTCTCTAGGCAGTTTGGCTGGGGCTGAACATTTTCCTCTTTGTGACATTCTTCTTGACGTTTGACAGGGATGAAAAATACCACTATACAAGACGACTCCTGTGGGTGAGCATCGCGTGTGAATACAGCCTCTGCCTTCTCACTGCTAGGGAAACTTACAACCTATGGAGAGACACAGGTGGAATGAAACATTCCATGGAGTTCTATGAGTGCCTCTTTCAAGGTTTTTAGAGAATAACACAGCAATCAGTATCTAAAGCAGCATTGTGGAGGCGGTGATGGGCGTGGAAAGTGCCGTCAAGTCACAGCTGATTTATAGCAAGCCCGTAGGCTGCCTTGACTTGAATAGCCCATGCTAACCTTCTCTCATCAGATCCTGGAAGCTAAGCAGGGTTAGCCTTGGTCAGTATTTGGATGGGAGACCAAGGAATTTCAGGATTGCTGTGCAGAGGCAGGCAATGGCAAACCACTTGTTGGCTCAAGTGGTTAAGATGCTGAACTGCAGACTGGAAGTTCTGTAGTTCGGCAGTTCGAGACCTAAGTGCCGCGGGACGGAGTGAGCTCCCGTCTCTGGCCCCAGCTCCTACCAACCTAGCAGTTCGAAAGCAAGACATTGCAAGTAGATAAATAGGTACCATGTCGGTGGGAAGGAAACAGTGTTCCGTGCACCTCGGCATCTAGTCATGCCAGCCGCATGACCACGGAAACGCCTTTGGACAGCGCTGGCTCTTCGGCTTGGAAATGGAGATGAGCACCGTATCCCTAGAGCACCGTATTCGACTGGCTTTCGAGCAAGGGAAACCTTTCTGTTAAGTCCGATGCTACAGTTATCAACCTATCAGGTTGAGCGAATAAGGACCAATCAGAGTCTTTCCCACTTATATACATTTGAACCTGATTGAACGCATTAGTCTTGAACTTCAATCCCTGTTCAAGACGAAGCTTAACATAGCTTCCCTATGAGATGTTTCACATTACATCTTAACGTATTCATTGCAGCGTCTGAATACATTACACTTTCCCTTTACCTTTAGGGTTTTCAAGGCAAGAAACATTCAGAGGTGGTTTGCCATTGCCTGCCTCCGCGTCATGACCCTGAAATTCCTTGGAGGTCTCCCATCCGACTACTAACTAGGGCAAGCACCGCTTCGCTTTTGAGATATGACAAGATCAGGCTAGACTGAGCCGTCCAGGTCAGAGACTACCATGACAAAATAATAAAATGACAAAAGCTCTTTCCCGAGTGGCTTCCAAATGGAAATATTTCCTTGTATGGACTGCAGGGACTGGTAGCTCCTGATTTAAATGGGAAAGTCAGGGGAAACAGACCGTAATCCTTCTTTCTTTGGCTCTTTTCCAGCCAAATATCACTCCCATAAAAATGCTTTTGTCCTAGGGATGCTAGCCTCCAGGTGGAACCTGGAGATCCCCTGGCTCCATCCCCAAATCCCCAGGAGTTTCCCAACCTGGATCTAGCAACCCCACCTCCTCATCCCCTGCCAGCGGCCAAGCAGGACCCAGCAACCTTTCTTTCTCCCCTGTTGGGTACCTGTCATTTTTCATGAAGCTACACAGAACATATAGGTGCATTTTAGTATTTTGCCACCTAAAAACTAAAATTCAGCAACAGGATTAAGATATGCACAATCCCATGCTGGCAGAACATATACAAATATATCCCCTCCCCCGGAATCTGCAGTATGGGAATAACAGTACAAGCAGGGGTGATAAAAGGATTGCAAGATAAATGTATGCGAAGGGCTATGAATACTCTAATGTGATGTAAAATACAATTATTATTGTCTTTATGATGATGGATTTTGGTATGTTTTACTCTGAGTAAAAAACACTAGAGGCAGGTAGTGGTTCATAAATGTTTTTTTAAATACCGAGTTAAGTCGCCAGATTTTTTTAAAGTTTCTTTTTCTTTTAGTAAAAGTCATCAATATAATTTTTATTTAGTGCACATGTTTAACCCAAATACGGCTGCTAAGGGACCAGTTTGCTAAACACCTCATAAACTGCTAAAATGGCACAGGTTGCTCAGAGCCTGAGATGCAGAGGTGGGGCTGGGGAGCCAAAGAGTGGAGCCTGGTGGCATAGGGGGTGAGGCTTTATGATGCCCGGTGGCAGCAGAGACTGGCACCTAGCAAGTCAGATGTATAGCCTGGCAACACCAGGATGCCTTGGGGGTGGAGCCTGACTAGGAACATCTCTAGACAAAGAAAGGCAGGCTTCCCTTCACTCTAGCCCGTGAAGGTTTTGGGGTTTGTTTTGTTTTTTGAGATTCAGAAAAGACTAAAGCCTTAAAACTTTAGGTCAACCCCCAAGACCTGGAAATCTTAAATGTCTTTCGTGAGACTGCCTAATGCATCTGTTCACTGGCTCCAGAGATCATACACCTGAATGCATCCCCCAAAGGCAAGGGGCAAGGGGAGGGGCAACATGGAAACTTGGCAGCAATGGGGATCACGCCGGCACTCACTTCCCTGCATGGGTTGTCCAAATGGTAGCTAGGGTTGCCAACCTCCAGGTGGGGCCTGGCGAGATTCCAAAATTACACCTCATATCCAGACTACAGTTTCTAGGCTTGCCAAGTCCCCCCGGGCACTCCAGGAGCGAGCCGGGAGTCCCCCGCTGCAGCAACAGGTAGTACTTGGCAACCCTATCAGTTTCCCTGGAGAAAATGGCTGCTTTGGAGGGGGGACTCTATGGCATTGTACCCCACTGTAGTCCCTGTCCTCCCCAGGCTCCAACCCCAAATCTCCAGGAGTTTCCCAAACTGGATCTGGCAACCTATTCCCCGCTGGTGGCCAGGGAGGAACTGGCAACCCTAACAGAAGAGTATAATGCCATGGAATCCACCCTTCAAGGCAGCCATTTTCTCCAGAGGAACTGATCTCTGTAGTTTGGAGATCAGTTGTAATTCCAGGAGATCTCCAAGCGTGGAGGCTGGCAACCTATCTTTGCTGCATTATTTCATAGGGAAACCCTTATGGAGCTTTGGAAACTTCAGTGTTTTAAGTATAGAAATACATTTTGTTTAAAAGTCCGTCCTGTGTTTGCAGTCTGCACTGGCTTGGGCACGTGCTTCAGCCAAATGCATCAACTTCAACAGCCTGCTGATCCTGCTGCCAGTTTGCCGGAACCTTCTCTCCTTCCTGAGGGGTACCTGCTCAGTGAGTACAGAACCAAGCAAACCTTTGGGGATAAAAAGGCTATCATCTCGGGGCAATGGCGGAGTGAGATGATGGCTTGTTTCTGAAGACGGTCTTTGGATGGAATTTTAAAATGGAACCCACTTCTGAGTTCTCATTCAATTGACAGTACTTATCCTGACGCAGATTTACTCCAGTTCAAGCCTGCGGGTTTAGACTGAAGCAACTCTGCAGCAGGACTGCACTCTATGCAAGTGGAGCATACAAAGAAAGAGTAATAAATAAATACAGCAGGTAATCCATTACTTATTTACTTTTCACACATCAAGGCTGCTTTTTCAACCCGTGTTCCCAAAACGGTTTATATATTATAAAACAATTGAAAACTAAGAATATGCACATAACTATAAGACAACCTAGCAGTTCGAAAGCAAGAAATTGCAAGTAGATAAATAGGGACCACTTTGGTGGGAAGGTAACAGCGTTCCGTGCGCCTTGGTGTTTAGTCATGCTGGCCACGTGACCACAGAAACGTCTTCGGACAGCGCTGGCTCTTCGGCTTTGAAACGGAGATGAGCACCGCAACCCTAGAGTCGGATGCGACTGGCTTTCGAGCAAGGGAACCTTTACCTATATAAGACAATTTCAAAAACATTAAGACTTATTTCTAGCTTTCCCCCTAAACACTTGGTATTTATTTGGGATGGAACAATATGCTATCTACCAAACAAATGTATTTCCTGAGATAACATGAATGTATGGGGACAGAGAGACATGTGGGGAAATCAGGAAGAGAGAAGGAAGGGTGTTTAACTGGATTTCCACTGGCTGATTTTCCCCCTCCCTTCCCTCCCATTTTGTACTCAGCTGGGCTTAACACCGAATTTCAAAATACGACTGGGGAAGACATTATTGAAAATAACAGGGGACTTTGTGAGAAAAAACAGCGCCCACTAGTTTTCCCTTAGCTTGCATTCCTTATGTGGAAAACATGGGCTGCAAACCCTGTGGTTTCCTCCTAGGAAATAAATGTGCTGTTACTGAACTTGGCAACTGTGCTTCCATTCAGTGCTGCAGGCGCACCATGAGGAAGCAACTGGACCACAACCTGACTTTTCACAAGCTGGTAGCCTACATGATCGTCCTGCACACAGGTACGCTGACTTCTGCCGGGATCTAGCACTCTTTCTTCTGATAGATCCAGGTGGGCAGCCATGTTGGTCTGAAGGAGGAGTACAAAACTAGAGTCCAGTGGCACCTTTAAGACCAACAAAGGTTTATTCAAGGTATGAGCTTTCGTGTGCAAGGCACGCTTTTTTCAAATATTTGTATTTGGAGAAGTGTGTTTTGTACAGGAAAGCTCATACCTTGAATAAACCTTTGTTGGTCTTAAAGGTGCAGCACTGGACTCTAGTTATATACTACTCTTTTTTCTGAGTAAGAGAATTCTCTGAGTCACCCCACAAATGCTCTGAATACAGTGTTTGGAGGGAATTTGGCAAGATAAGCAACAGAATATAAATGATTTTTTTTGGGGGGGGGGAATCAATGCAATTTGCTAGCCACATTCTAAACTATTCTAATTCAGATTAACTCTCAGTTAAAGAAAAGAGTCAGGGGTCATGATGTTAATAATTAATTTTGGCAATTAGTTATCCTTTTTTAAAATGTACAAGCTTTAAGATATTTTTTTTAATCTCCCGAACCAGAGTGGTGGAGTGTGTTGCTGGGATAGGACCAGAAGGATCTGGGTTCAAATTCGTATTATGCCCTGAAGCTTTCTGAGTGACCCTGGGCCGGTCACCATCCATCGTTCTACTGCATCTGTCAGAATAATATGAAGGGGGTGTTTGTGTGGCAAGTGCTTGATGGGGAAACTATTGAAAACATAATTTCTCTCTCACACTATGTAGACAAGCCCAAGCTCCTTGGAGGAAGGGCAGGATAAAAATCTAATAAATACAATAGATACATTTCAAAAACATTTATTCTATTTCCGATTTGAATTTCTAAAGTTTCATCTCGCACAAAACTATCTCAGCTCCAGTCACCCTCTTTCCATTTGGAACCAACTTTGGTCTGAAACTTCCCATAGGGATGCCAACCTCCTGGTGGGGCCTGGGGATCCCCTTGCATTGCAGCTCATCTCAAGACTGCAGAGATAGTTCCCCTGGAGAAAATGGAGGCTTTGGAGGGTGGACTCTTATGGCATTGTACCCCACTGAGGTCCCTGCCCTCCCCAGGCTCCATTCCCAAATCTCCAAGAGTTTACCAACCTGGACCTGGCAACTCAACCCCTCTACCCCCTGTCGGAGGCCTGGGGGGGACTTGTAAACCCTAAAAGCAGGCCCAAGTGTCTTTTTCCAGATACGGTCCTCCTGCTGTAGTTCTATCTGCCTAGCAGGAGGAGGAAGAGGCCCATCTGCATGTTGGAGTCAGGGTAGCTGTTGAGGCTGGGTGCTTGCAGGGAATTGGCTCAGTTTTGCCTTGTACCCCCCCAGCTATTCACATCATTGCTCACCTGTGCAACTTTGAGTGGTACAACGATGCCCAGCAAGCGACAGATAACAGCCTGGCTTCTGTACTCTCTGAACTGCACCAGGATGATGGGCTGTGGCTGAACCCCATCAATTCCAACACTACGGTGAGTGCCAGACCACCCTTGGTCATTAGCAGGGATTTTCTGAAATGAGATTTGCCAGTGCTCAAGCACTGGGAGGGCCCATAGCCCATGAGCAGAGTATGTGCTTTGACATCCATGTGTCTCTAATTAAAGGATGTCCTGTAGCAAGGGAGAGGCTTTGCCTGACTGTGTGTGCACCTGGAAATCATGGCGACCTCTGGTGACTGACCCCTACTGGGGGCCTGGAGGGTATTCAGAGAGGCGGCTGAATAAAGCCTGCCCCCACCTCTGGTATTCCAAGGAGGTCTCCCTTCCAAGTACCTGCCAGGGTTGACCCTGCTTAGCTTCCGAGATTGGGCTTGCCTGGGCTATCCAGGTCAGGGTGTTTTGCCTGAGATCTCGACCAGCTGCAGTAGAGCGCCATAGAACACCAATCCGCTTTAGTGTAAGACAGTTTGAAACAACAGAGAAGAAATCTGATTGGATGTCTATGAATTCTTACCCCTGTTACATTATTTGACTATGCTATACTGTAGAGGCAAATGGCAATTTGCACATGTTCACAGATCCCCAATTTTTAATTCCAACCGACCTCTGATACTGATACAAAACCTAACTGTAATGAAATTCATTACTGTGTTGACAGTCAGTAAGTAGCTTTAAAAAAGGTAAAGGTTCCCTTGCTCGAAAGCCAGTTGAGTCCGACTCTAGGGCTCATCTCCATTTAAAAGCCAAAGCCAAAGAGCCAGCGCTGTCCGAGGACATTTCCGTGGTCATGTGGCTGGCATGACTAAACACAAAGGCGCATGGAACGCTGTTACCTTCCCACTGAAGTGGTACCTATTTATCTACTTGCAATTTCTTGTTTTTGAACTGCTAGGTTGGCAGGAGCTGAAACTAGAGATGGGAGCTCACTCCGTCATGCGGCACACTCGGGTCTCGAACTGCTGAACTACCGACCTTCCACAGCCTGCAGTTCAGCGTCTTAACCACTTGAGCCACCGCAGCTTAAATGACTCTAAAAAGGAATAGACAGATTGAGGAATAGACCATAAAAAGAAATAGACCATAGATCTACACAGGGGCATTAGAATATCAGCTATTTTATTTTCAGTCCCTTTCTTAATAATACTTAACATAGGGTTTGCCTTTTATACCGCTGCAGCACACTGGGTTGACACACTCACTGAGCTATCCACTATGACCCCAAGATCTTTCCCCCTCTCCGTCTCAAGTTCAGACCTCATTCGCCTATACTTGAAGTTTGGATTTTTTGTCCCAGTGTGCATCACCTGACACTTACCAACACTGAACTTCATTTGCCGCCTTGTCACCCACTCACCCAGTTTGTGGAGGACCTCTTGGAGCTCTTCACAGTCAGCCTTGGTTTTCATCAGCCTGAATAATTTTGTGTCATCTGCAAACTTGGCCACTACATTATTCACCCTTCGTTTCAGATAATTTATGAATGAATAAATTAAATAGTACTGGCCCCAATACCGATCCTTGTGGGACCCCACCGCTTACTTCCCTCCATTTATTCCTACTCTTCGCTTCCTGTCGTTTATCCACTTTGGAATCTGTAAGAGAGCCCGTCCTCTTATCGCATGACTGCTAAGTTTGCTCAGGAGTCTTTGTTGAGGTACCTTGTCAAAAGCCTTTTGAAAGTCCATACGTTTTGTGTATATAAGTCCTCATCTTCTGGACTCTGCCTGACATCAGCTGGTTTTCCTTTTCTCCCGCTTGCAGACACCTTTGCATGTGGCATTCACCACCATTCCAGGCTTAACCGGCGTGATAATCACTTTGGCTTTGATCCTTATGGTCACCTCTTCCGTGGAGTTCATCCGCCGGAGCTACTTCGAGGTCTTCTGGTACACCCATCACCTCTTCGTCATCTATTTTGCAGGCCTCGTCATCCATGGCATTGCGTAAGGCTAACTCAAGAGAAACTCAGCTGCCTGTCCTATGTGCCCCTGCCGCTTGCAGTAGCTGGAGTCTCGGCTTCCATATTTCTTTCTCCATATTTCTTTCTGCATCTGCTTCTGGGGATGAATGCACAATCTTGTAAAGAAACACAAGAGCCAGTTTGGTGTAGTGGTTAAGTGCGGGGACTCTAATCTGGGAGAACTGGGTTTGATTCCCCACTCCTCCACTTGCACCTGCTGATGTGACCTTGGGTCAGTCACAAGTTCTGGCACAGCTGTCCTTGAAAAAGAGCAGTCTCTGTCAGAGTTCTCTCAGCCCCACCCACCTCACAGGGTGCCTGTTGTGGGGAGGGGAAGGGAGAGGAGTTTGTAAGCCGTTCTGAGACTCTAATCTGGGAGAACCGGGTTTGATTCCCCACTCCTCCACTTGCACCTGCTGATGTGACCCTGGGTCAGTCACAAGCTCCGGCACAGCTGTTCCTGAAAGAGCAGTTTGTGTCAGAGTTCTCTCAGCCCCACCCACCTCACAGGGTGTCTGTTGTGGGGAGGGGAAGGGAAAGGAGTTTGTAAGCTGCTCTGAGACTCCAAGTGAAGGGTGGGGTATAAATCCAATCTCTTCTTCCTCTTCTTCTTCTACTGCAGTACTGAAGCCACCACAAACAACAGAGAGGTGTTCTAAGGCAATGGGGAATGAGGGAGGGAGAACACATGACGCTGCCTTCTACTGAGTCAGACCACTGGCTCATTAAAGTCAGTATTTTTAAAATAAACAAATAAATAAAAATAGTAGTAGTGGTGGTAGTAGTACTGTTTACCCAGACTGGCAGCATCTCTCCAGGACAGAAACCTTTCACGTCATTGCTGAGGTGATCCTTTTTCATTGGAGGTGCCGGGGGCCTATTATGCACGGGTTTTTCCCCTTGCTTTGACCATGCATGTCTGTTGGGTTTTCTTTGTTGTTCTGCGTTGATTTTCCTCCCTCCAGTGCTCAGTTTGCTTTCGGGTTGCTGTTTCCCCGGGTTTTCTGAGAGAGTTTTTGTGCCGATTTCCCCCTCGTTTCGCATCTAGTTTGGTGTAGTGGTTAAGTGCGCGGACTGTAATCTGGGAGAACCGGGTTTGATTCCCCACTCCTCCACTTGCACCTGGCTGGATGACCTTGGGCAAGTCGTAGTTCTGATAAGAGCTGTCCTTGAAAAAGAGCAGTTTCTGTCAAGAGCTCTCTCAGCCCCACCCACCTCACAGGGTGTCTGTTGTGGGGAGGGGAGGGAAATGGAAAGGAGTTTGCAAGCCGCTCTGAGACTCCTTTGGGTAGTGAAGGGCGGGGTATAAATCCAATCTCTTCTTCCAAGACAAAGGTAATTCAAAAGTATACAGATTCCCTCATACTTCCCCCTTTCCCTAAGCTGCCCCTCAAAGGTCACTCCCCATCCACATTGAGGTCATTCTGCCCGCTCTGCACCTCCTGCCATCCTCCCTCTTCATCCGTGTAGAAGCTCCATTTCCCCCTCATTTTAATTTTTTTTACAAGCAGCATGAGTCTAGTGATATGAGATTATTGCTAGTCTTGGATCACTGAATGAAAAAAAATTAGTCTTACAGGAGCGGGGGAGTTTAGAAGGAGGTGCACAAGGTTTAGTTCCCTGCTGGTATTGACTTGAAGGGGGGCTCAGAGAGGAGGCAAACGGCAGCATCCCCAGTGCAGCCCCCCCCCCCAAAAAAAAGATTTCAGTGCTTCATACAAACAAAATAAAGGGTGGTTATCATCAGCATGGAATGAAATTGACATGAGATGTAAAGAGAGAGAGAGAGAGACTGGGATGGGATGCCTAAAGCTTTGAAAACATTTTTCCCTTTCATGTGTTAGTGAACAAAGTTTTTTGGGGGGACCCATTTTGGGAGTCTCTGGAAGCCTAACAGTAACATGGTGGCTGAGCCACATGGACCTTCTGCAAACTGCCAAACTTAAAAATTGCTTGAGATTGATCCATTTGGAGGAAGAGTGCAATCTGCACAGGACAGGTTCTAAAAAACGGTGAAGATCACGACCACTGTGCATGATCAGATTAGAGAATCACAGAGAAAACCACGCAAATTTGCAAGGAAGGGCAGGAAATTATGTTACTATGCAGCTGCGCTAGGGCATCGGCAAAAATACCCTCCCCCATTTTCCCCCCAATTTAGTGAGATAAGACTAAAAAAGCTCTCCAGAGCTTCTGCCAGAGGACTCCTCCCCCATACAAACTGCAGCCCTGTGCTAAGCATGGTGGAGTTGCAGCCAACTTTGCACAGGCACACACGCGCGTGCACACCCACACATGTTGCCAACTATTACAGCTTGCAATGCCACTGTCAGTGGGTTCTACCACTGTACACTCAACATGTTTCCCCATATTATGAGATTGTGTGACTTCCATTTTTCACAGTGGCTGATAACAGAGTATCCCCTAGTGCGCGGAAATATGAAAAAGGGGCTTCGCAGCTGCTTGTCGGTTTCAAAAAAGTCTTGTCAATTTCAACACTGGGTTTCCTCCCTTTGCCTGCATTCCCTTCTGTTCCCTTTCCTTCAACAAACTAATGCTAAAATGCATGTGCAAAACCTGAACCACGAGGATTTAAATGGAAGGCGCTTGCTGGATGCTACTGTGCAGTTGTGATAGAGCAATTGCATAAATTAAAAAAAATAACGTTGGATACCCCCATCCCCCTCACATCACAAACAACGTTCCATCCTGATTTAGGAAAGTGTGGCTTTTTTATTGTAGCAGTCGAATAGATACGCAGAGGAAAAAGAATAGTACATAAGGCGTGCACAGCATCCAAAGTCAAGATGAAAGGCTTACTGCTCTGAAAATCTGCAGTAAGATGTGTATATGTAATGGGCCAGGGATTGATCTTGGGACTTCCTGCATGCAAAGCAGATGCTCTACCAACTGAGCCACAGCCCCTCTCGGAAAAACTGAAGGCATAGAGAGGTTTGAGGTGGCCCGTATTTATTACCCCATTGAGGATTGTCCCTTCCCACTGTTTAGCTTTCCATCATCTCATTTTCCTTCGAGAAGGGTTGCAAAGAGCAGCTTTGATGGTTTTCTTCTTTTTCCAGAGGTGCCGTCCGTGGGCAAACGGCAGACAGCCTGAAGGAGCATAATCCAAAGGAATGTGCACCCTACTATACAGAGTGGGATAAAGAGAGCAGCCCTCACAACTGCAAAGAGCCCGAGTTTGGGAGTATCCCTGCTGAAGTAAGAATATGAACCCACCGTTCTCCTGACTAAGTTAAAAACCACCAGTGCTTCCTTTTGTCTAGTACATCCTGGAGACATCTAGATTCAGTTCTTTTAGCAAATGAGCTTGAGTTATGTGGTTGGAGTCTATCAGAACCTTTTGTTTTCATTTTTTTAAAAAGAGTACATAGAATGTTTTTGAGTGTTACATTTAACATTACCGGGAAAAACTGAATTTGCTTCAGATTCTGGAATCTGAGGGTTTAAGGGATAGCCTTGTTTACTCTAGAAATTAATGGGGGTTGTGGTCTATGCAGCTTTTCTTCTGAGACCTTTCCAGCTTTGCACGATTCCACCTCTACATCACTTTTCAGTCTGTACATTTATGTATCAGCAGATTTTCACAGGGGTACTTGCAGAATTGCAGTCATTCCTCCCACAGAAAAATGTAGCTACTTCAGATATTTAACTTAGAAATTAAATATCAAGTCTTCTTGAATAGTTTTTAGAATAATCACATTAGTCAAATTTAATAATCGTGTTCCTTGTTTATTCTAACAATCCTAATTCCAATTTCATCCATAACTGGAAGCGCTTGTTGAGGATTGGGTGGGACCTGGTCAGTGGAGCCCATTATGAGGGAAGTACTGGGATTATGGAGAGAGGCGGGTTGTACAAACAGTGAGAAAAGTCTTAATTGTGACTGTCCTTTTAGCATAGATATGACACTGTTCTTTCTTTGAAGTCCTGGAAATGGGTTTTGGCCCCTCTGATTCTCTATGCCTTCGAACGAGTCTTGCGGTTTTGGCGTTCCTGTCAGGAAGTGGCCGTCACCAAGGTAAGTGTTGATGCTGCCTCCCAAGCTCAGTGTTTTTGAGTGGGATACATTCCTGAAGGCTGCCTTGGGGATTCTGTTCTGGTGCTTCGGCTGTACCCCCTGGAAATCTGGAAAAGTGTCTCCTTTTGTTTCACCCCAAAGCAAGAGAAGGGACTCAGTGACTTCTTTTGTCCAGTTCAAGTAGGACCTTGGTCTATGTGTACTAGGGTGGATCTTGATAGGGGTATCCAACAATACAATTATGAAGAACGAGACCGAGAGAGAATGATTTTAGACACAAACAAATAGCTTTGTTGCATGCAAAATAAAATAAAATAAAAGTAAAAATATGAAGTATCTACACTAGGCACCTGAGAACGTATTCCCTAAGACACCACACATGCACCCACACACACACACCCCAGGAAGGCACACTTATAAATGGTATGAGGGAGGAAACTGGGACGTTTTAGGGAAGGGACATATGACCTGAAATCCTGGGCTTGAGGTCTGGAGAGGTCCGGGGGCAAGCACAGCTGAGGTCCAAAGAGCAGAGCAACGGGGTGGGGGGAAGGAGCCTACAACACAGTCGCGGGGGTGTTCAGGTAGTGGGAAGACCTGGCACTAGAGATGTAAAATTTCCGGAAATTTTGAAGCTCAGAAAAAAACCCGGGTTTTTTCCGTTTCCCCCCGAAAAAAACCCGGAAATTTTCGGGAAAATTGCATTTCTTTTGTTTTTTCTAGATTGAAAGTCATTCTGTTACTTTAGGAACATAAAATATGACTATGGACATTTTTACTTGGCATGAAATATAGTGTATCCAAACAATTATTACAAATGTTTTGCCCACATGCAAAAACAAAACTGAAACTTTTTTATTTTCTTCTGACAATCACACCTCCTAAAGGAAGAAATGTGTTTTGTTCCTGCATTGGAGAGTTCAGTTTGTAACCTAGGACTTGCTTGTCCTCAGTGCACAGAAATTA